TTTATTTATTTATTTATTTATTTTTTGGTGGAACTGGGCATTGAACTCAGGCCCTTGCACTTGCCAGGCCAGCGCTATTCTACTGAGCCATCTCCCTGGTCCTCACAAAGTGTTTTTAAAGTAAATTTGGTTATGTGACCCTCAGAACAAGCCTGGAATTCAAAGTTACTTTTTCTCTACAGATGATGAAATGGATGCTTAAAGAGATTAAATGAACCGCTAAATACAACAGCTTTTTAAAAATTATCTTTTATTTACTTATTTATTTATCTGGTACAGGGCCTTGCTACGCAGCTCAGATGCATAATGATCGTCCTGTCTCAGTCTCACCGGTGCAGAGATTACAGGCATATGACGCCACCCCCAGTTTCTGTGGCCAATACAGCATGCCCGGGGTTCTGGAGCTGGCACTGCATGTGATACCAGGGATTGAACCTGGGTCCTTGCTCTTTCCAGGTAGGCTCTTAGACTGCCAAGCAATCTCCCCAACCTGATGACATCTTACAATGACTCTATCTCGAGAAAATTCAGATCTTTATGTCCAATATAGTTATTTTGCAACTGCATTATAAAGCTCAAATAGTGATCAGAAATATTTTCCAAATTTCAGTATTTGTTGTATATTTTGGTTACAGAAAATCAAAAAAGTGACATTCTTTTATTTTGAAATATTGTCCAATATACTGTATAAGTGAAAATATTTTTTTATCCAAAACATGTATAAATGGATATAACTAACAAAGGAAATACCAAAAATCACATTTAATTAAATCCAGATTATATTTGATTTTAAAAATCCAATCCTTAGGGCCAGCCAAACAGCTCAGCAGATTAAAGCACCTACAAGCAGGCTCAGGGGCCAGGGGTTCGATCCCAGGGGACTGCTGTGCCAGCCCTGCCCCTGGGGCATGCTGAGGGCAATTGAGACTGGGCATGGTGGCACGCGCCTATAATCCCAGCTCTTGGGAGGCTGTAACCAGGTGGATCACTAGGAGTCGAATCTAGTAGTGAGACCCTGAACACCCTGTAGACCTTTCCCTAAAATACAAAACAAAAAACAAAAAAAAAAAAAATCAATCCAATCCTTTTCATTTGTAAGCAGTAAGCTTCTTCCTCTCCCCTACCACATGAGAAGAAAATGGTTGCTATTTTAACAATCAGTAACAGTGTTATGGTTTGTGTCTATGTGTCCCCCCAAAGCCTCCTGCAGTCTTGGGGCAGCTTCTGGAGTTTGTGATATATTACTGTGGGTGTGGATGCTGCACCTGCCCTGGGGCAGGTTATCTGCATTACAATGTAAGGTGGGAAGAGTAGCCAGCTGCTTGAGCTGCTGCTACCCCTCCCTTGCGCTCTTGCTCTTCGCCACCACCATGAAAGGTTGCTTTCTGCTCTGTGCTGCTCTGCGTTGGACCCAGCTGAGTACGGACTGAAACCTCCAGTAACTGTGAGCTAATAAACCTTTCCTTCCTTCATTTTGAGTGTTGAGTATTTGTCCCAGCAATGAGAGAAGAATAACTAAGACAAACAGAATATTTTTCACATACAATTGAATCCATTCTATGGCAAATCATGGGTGCATAATGCTGTCATTATTTTTTACTACCATTGTTTAGTTACAGGTAAATCTGATTTTACAATCATATGCTAATAGATATTTGTAAATATTTCTATTTCTTCTTTATAAGCACAAAAATCTTTCCATGTGCTGATAATTTCCTAATGGCAGTATGATTATTCTGGTATTAGAAGAGTACTCCAAGGTTATTCAGTGCATCTGAATTTTTAAAGTGTTAAAATGGTGGTTTTCTGATCTCATTCTGTCCCCTTATTTACCTATAAGAACATCTTACTGACACATGTAATAGCTTTACCCAGTGATTTAAACAGAATTGGCATCACATTAAGAAAAACATTGTGACAAGAATAAAAATTAGGGCTGGCCAGACAGCTTAGTGGACTACAGCGCCTGCTTAGGCAGACGCAGGGACCGGGTTTGATCCCAGGCGTGCAGTGGCATGCAGTGGCGTGCTGAGACAGTGAGCGAGACTGGGCATGGGGCAGGAGCCTGTAGTGCCAGGGCTTGAGAGGCTGAAAACAGGAGAATCACAATGAGCCTGTCCTGTGTAGTGAGACCCTATAGACCCTGTACTAAACAGATTTTTAAAAATAAAAATTGACATTTTGATTTGTTAAAAACTTTTAATATATTCTCTTTAGTATTTATAATACACACACACACACACACACACACACACACACACACACACAAAACCCCAGGGAGATGAGAGATGTCCTACCTGCTGAGTAATTGCTGCAGCTAAGTTTCCTCCTGCACTGTCTCCCGCAACACAGATTCTCTCAGGGTTTACGCCATAGCTTTCCAGAACATTGTCACTTAAGAACCACTTGAAGGCAGTATATACATCTTCAAATTGGGTTGGGAAATGATACTTTGGTGCTAATCTGTAGCTTTGAAGAGAAAATATGGTTTTCATGTCACATTTAGTAAATAAAGTGTAATATGCATGTCAGAAATGAACACATTCTAAGTGCACAGATTCTGGAATTCAAGCTGAACACAGTAATTCTACCTAGGTCATGAAAATCAGTACTGCCAGCACCCGAAGTCTTCTGTTTATTGAATTAATATCCTGTTACTGACATAGAAGCAGCAATTAAGCTTGCTTGATTTTGCCTTTAAAATAAATGAACTCAAAATCTAAAGCTGTACTGGATCTGATTAGTCAGCATTGTCTTGGATCCTCACACACATGGCCGCATGCCATGGTGCCCTGCGTCATCCCCACCGTGTGGGTACCGCACCGCTCACCTATCCAGTAACATTTGGTGCGGCAGCCACAGGAAGTCAATATTATGGGATTCCTCTTACATGTGGTATCTACAATGGCAATTCATAGACTCAGAGTAAAATGCTGATTTCCAAGACTGTGGCAAGGGAGAAATGGAGTTAATCATCAAAAGGTTCAGTTAATGATGTGAATAGGGCTGGAGAGATGGCTCAGTGGTCTAAAGCACCTATTTAGAACAAGCTTAGCAAAAGCATCAGGGACCGCGGTTCAATCCCCCAGCACCACATGCCAGCCAGCCCTGCCCCCTGGTGGGCTGACTCTCTCTCTCTCTCTCTCTCTCTCTCTCTCTCTCTCTCTCTCTCTCTCTCTCAAATAAATAAATAAATAAAATTAAAAAAAATTAAAAAAAAATGATGTGAATAAACTACAGCGCCTGCTTAGGCAGACGCAGGAACCGGGTTTGATCCCTGGCGTGCCATGCCAACTCCTCCCTCGGGGCGCGCTGAGACAGTGAGTGAGACTGGGCGTGGGGGGCGTGCCTGCGGTGCCAGTGCTTGCGAGGCTGAAAACAGAGATTTGTCCTATAATAGCATGTGTATAATCAACACTAATGTACTATGCATTTAAAATTTGTTGAGAATGAACCTGGCATTAGTAACTCTTAACACAACTAATTAAATAGTAAATAAAGAAACATTTTCCAACTTAAAGATGCTGTGAGGATTTGGGTTGTTAACAGCTATTCTCAATCAGTTTATAAAAGGATCTGTGATGCCTGTTGTTTCCAACATGTGGTGTTTTATGACTTTTCATCTTAGCCATAATATAAAGTATAGAGGAACTACATAATCGATTTGTGTTCTCTTTATGTTAACTTCTTATGCATTTGACAATTTGAATATTCTTCTCTATTTCTTTTCAAGCCTTTTTCCTAGATTTCAAATAATTTAAAGGTGTTTATGTATTTTGCATAAGAAAAATACATGTATTTTAGCATTCATATATCTATGCATATGTTAAGTAAAGCATAAGTTTTATTTTTTAAAGCAGACACTTCATTAAAATATAAATATTTTATAAAATTTATTTGGAGTGCGTAATTTGTATTGTGATTTTTAATGTATTCAAAGAGTTGTGCAACAATTGCCATAATCTATTTTGGAACAATTTTATTACAAAAAAAGAAAGGAAAGAAATGGAAAAAGAAGTAAAACCACACCTGTGCATATTGTTATTCACAGTTTATATTTTATCTTCCCCCATCTCTATCCACAGGTAACTGCAATCTTTGTGGGTTTTTTTTTTGAGATTTGCCAAGACTGGGCATTTCCAAAAAATAAAATAATTTTTTTGATGGCCTTTTCTGACTTCCGTCTTTTACTCAAAATATTCTGAAACTTTATGCATGTCATAGAATTCCTTTTCAATGACAAGTAACATTTAACTGTGTGGATACACTACATTTTGTTTATCCATATGTCAGTTAATGGACATTTGGTGGTTTCCTCTTTGGGGGCTTCCAGAATAGTGCTACTATAAAAGCAAAAGTCTCTGTGTGGATATATTTTCATTGCCTCGTGGATAATCCTAGATATAAAGACCAACGTCATTATAGTAATTCTGTTTTTAACCTTTTCAGGAACTGCCAAACTATTTTCCAAAGCAGCAGCAGCATTTTGCAGTTCCATCAGCGGCAGAGAGGGATTTATTTTTCTATATGGTATCATTTTATTAACCTGCACTTTCATTGTAGTCAACCTTGTGTATGTGAAGTGCTGTTTCCTTATGCTTATGATACTTATTTCTGAAATGACTACTGATATTTAGCAATATTTATTGTGCTTATTAGCCATTTAAATTATAATAGAAACAAAATCGTCCAGGTTTTTGGCATGAAAATTGTCATTTATCTTTAATATCAGTGTATATTCAAGGGTAAGTCATAAAATTGAGTGAATATTTAAAATTTGATCACTGAAATCCTGATTTGTGAGTTGTTTTGATGAATAATGAAACAGATGTCTTACAGTGTCACTGTCATTGAGAAAGCCATCTTTATAAAGTACAAAACACAGTATGCAACATTAGATTTTCTAGTTTTTAATGTTTGTAATTACTTTGCTTATTTGTGAGCACTTAAAAGAAAGAATTGAGCATGAATGTCTCAACTTTATAATAATGATTTAGGTAGATGAATGGTCATCAGTGTGTTAATTCTTAAATATCTCTCCCTTTTCCAAAGTTTAAATGGCTATGTAGTACTCTCATATGAGTCTATCAAATGTGTTCTAATTTTGCAGTCTTTTGGTGCTCTTTTTAAAGTTGGATCTTTAATCTACTCTATTTTATATTAACCCACTAACTTGGTTGGTATCTTTTACGTCAGTGTCAATTTGAGATAGGGATTATTTATAATGTGCTTTTGTTGACAATCCACTGATTCCAAGAAACTTATTCTTAAAGACCCTGACTGAAAGTGGAAAGGTAATCCAATGCAAGTAATTATGTCCATGGATAATACAATTTAAGCTTCCATGAAACATTTTTTATTGTTTTTTCAACTGGCTTAAGACACACACACACACACACACACACACACACACTTTTTTTTCTGAATGTTATTCAGTGTAGATTAACTCTTTTAAAATTGTTCCTTCAGTGTAAAGTGAGAAACATTTATTTTCGGCATAATCACACCTCAGCTACTCAATAAAGATGAAAGAATCTGGATAAGTGAGGCAACTGGAACCAAAACCAAAACAACAGAGATCTTACTTGCTAGATACAACAACAGCATCAAGTCTCTCTGCTGTCCATCTTGAGAGGAGATCATAATTACGTAAAGCTGAAATAAAAAGAATACAATCGGGACATTAGTGACAGTAGATGAATGAAAGGAAGGATGTTACCTTGAAAAGATAGTTACACTTTTTTATATTTTAACTTCTTTGTGCATTGCACATTAAAATAACAGGAAGATGAATTCAACACTGTATGTAAATTAGAAACTACTCATCCACAACTCAGTGAATTTCAAGTCAACATTTCTAGTCATCTGTCTTGCAATCTATTTCTATTAATCGTGTTATTTATTTTTAGTCTACATATTATTCATATCTGTTTGGCACAAAATAATGAAAAAAATGCATTTACTTAACTCTCCTTTGAATCTTCATTTGATGTTAGCTAAAAGGCAGAGAAATGATTCCATTTAATCTTACCTTTCTCTTACTTTTCCCTTTTATAACTAATTCCCTTTAAGGCCAGGAAGCATCCGTCCTATGTTCTTATTACTATTGCTTGCTGGCATGTGTCTCTTTATAAATATCAAACCAGGTGGTACTCACCACTATTAACATAAGCAGTTCAGCGTCCAAGAGATGTATTTCCATAGTACTCGGCATCTCTATACCTTTCAGCACTTCATTAGTCCTTCCTTTTTTTGTTTTATGATCTCCGATCACTTCCTAATGTTTTGCTGATTGCCTCTTCTTCCACCTGCTACCTATGTTGATGTTCTCCAGAGAACGAGCCTCACCCGCCCTGTTAATGTGCCATCTATTACACAATGGCTTGATCATCTAGTGTCTGGAATACTATTCTGCCTCCTTCTCTTTCTCCCTCCTCAGTCCCCTTCAATTTTCCACACTTGTCACATCAATTAACACATTTTGCTGTAATATTTCTTCTCTGGACTCTTCTTCGCCTATGGAATTTCGAGTTCTTAACTTAGACCCCATCCAATCCCCACCCCTTCTTTATGGCAGATTCTACTTCTTGTTGAAAGTTAAGTACTGTGGAACAAAAGTAGCATAAGTGATTTTCTTAGTCACAAGTCTTAGATCTTTTCCCAGTTACATTCTTTTCTGAATACATTCCAATTTCTGCTCTAGTTTTCTATACACCTGGGATTTTGCAACTTTTGCCCCATCTCAATTAATTTAGTCTATTATTTCTTACATTTGTCACTTAGAATACACTGTGTTACTTATTTATATATGAAGTGGCTGATATTGTCCTTATTTGATTGTAAACTCTAAGAAGAATTTTGTGTGTGCCCAGATATCCCAGACCTGTCTAAAGTTCCTAGCAGATTTCCAGGCATAAAACAAATATTTAAATAAATAAATAAACACATTATTTGGTCCTGCAATATCAAATGAAAAATCATACAAATAGCACTATACTGTATGATTTCTTAAACCAATGTAATGAATGGGATAGTTTTTTCTTTGCAGCTCTACTTGCATTGATGAATAAGCCATATAAAAATGGGACAGAGTGATTGAGAGTTCCAGGGAAGAATAAAACTATGTCAGTGATCAAAGCACAAGAGAGAGTGTATAGTGTCCCTGCTGTAAAGGTCGGTACAAAGCCTTCAGGGCACTCTTTGCAAACTGCTTCAGTGGCAAAGAGTTTTCAAAGCGATCACTTACCAGCACTTCCACAACAAAAGCCACCACCATGCATAAAAAATACAGCTCTTCGCTGTGCCTCTGTCTTCTTCTTTGGCACATACACATGGACAGGAGTGTTGTTGAATTTTGTCTCAATTACAGTGACATTTTCATCTGAAGTTGGAGGAACTTCATTTAATGCTGTAATTACTGCTAGCAAATCCAAAAAATTGTAAAGTCCCAGAAACTCCAGAAATGCACCCTAAAATTAAAATGCATATACAAATTTATATTTCAAATTCCAAATTTGAAAAGATTTTTGAGAATTTAAGTGCATATCTATCCTTTATGAGCTCAAATGAAATGAATGGCATCCTTATAAAAGTCTCCTTTATCATTTTAGAAGAATCAGGAAAGCAGTGCTTATGTCTACAGTAATTGTTATTTTAAAAAATGAAATACACATATTTAATCATTATTTCACAAAACTGTTTAGGTTCCTCACTCATCCTGAGGTTCCAGAGATGAACAAGACAAATCTTTCCTCAGGAACCTCTAACTGAAGGGTGCAATGAACTGTTAAAAAATAATGTAGTTGCTCCAAGAGATCTACACCCAGTATTTTGAAAGTGTCCAGCAAGTGCTACCTAATGCAAGTTAGAAAAGAGTAATCAAACTTTTTTTTGTGACATTATTTTTTTATTTTTTTTTCAAAATTTTATTGATAAACAGCAATGAGACAGTTTCAAATCAAATCGGAAGTACAGTTTCAACAAATAATAAAGTGCATATATTCTTCTTAGTAGTTAAGTGCTGTAAGAATAATCAAACTTGAAGTCCATTTATCTCAAATTTACAGGAAAGACTTGTTTTGACTATATAAGTCAACAAATACATAAAGGGGAAAAAATCATTCTGTGCAAAGGTACTAGTGTATTTTGGAGATAAGGGGACCATTGTTAATGTCAGAAAGCATGGCTACAGAGGCACATGCATGAAGGGAAACAAATTGGAGAGTGAAAGGCTGAATGCGAGAGAGGGAGAGCCAGTGTGCCTGCCTATAGCCTGCACTGCCCAACAATTCGACAGTTTGCCCACACTTTGTGTTTACTAGTCCCGGTAAGGTCACTTTAGCTCTATCTGAGATATATAATATTATTGTTATCCTTTGAGCAATAAGGAAAAGGAACCCAGGAAGGTAATTAGTCTAAGTTTACACAGCTAGGAAGGGATATTCACCAACATTATGAGTCCAGAACTGATTCTGGACTTTGATTCTTCATTTCTAGCATAATTGTTCAGTGAGAATTACTGAAATGGATTTGAAGGAAGGCAGCAAATCAATCAGAAAAATCCCAAAGGATCAGGACATAATTGAATACAATAAAGAAAAAATAAGTAACTTGGGAATGAAACCATATTAAAATTACTTTTAAAAAGCATATACTTTCACAATCCTGCAAATATATGAATAAACCAAGCTTAGGAGACAAAATATAAAACTAAAGGGTTAACAGAGGAGGAAAAACTCACAGGTAGGCCAATGCATTATTTAAAAAAATAATAAAAGCTATTAATAGCTAGAGTTTGTGGAGGACCACCTGAGCAGCTCTCCTTGAAAGAAGAGCGAGTGGTTGTCTCCATTTTGACTGAGCCTGACCCTGTTTCCTAGTATTGATTTGTACAGAGTTGGCTAAGACTTCTCTTTATCCTTTCAATTGGAAAACTATCTTTGTGGTTGGAAGCCCCCATAATTATAAATATGTTTTAGTGTCTTTACTTTCACCATGGGTTGTACTGGGATTGGTAGATTGGAATTAACTTGGTGGGATTCCAATAACGTACCTTTGGGATTATAAATATTGACTTCTTGGACCAAGACGAGGACCAAAAAGGGCTCATTAGAAGAGCCAAACAACAACATCAAAGTAAGGCATCTCCCAAGGTAAAGGCAAATAGAGTATTAAAAAGGTAAAACCACTTCTAAAAACTCTAGGGTCTCGGGAGATGGCACAGTGGAATAAGCGTTTGCCTGGCAAGCACAAGGGCCTCAATTCAAACCCCAGTTCGGCAAAAAAAAAAAAAAGAAAAGAAAAAAGAAAAACAAACAAACAAAAAAACCCCTCTTGACAGCGTATTACATACAGAATTACATAAACATGTACTATCTTTAGAAACAAAGCATACCGTATGATATGGCCTCTTACATTTTCAAATTGCAACTGTGTTCCCATCAGTTGCAAGTGTTTTATGCTATTTCTTGAACTTGTCAATATTGTATAGTTAGGGTTTTGTATGTGTGGTTGTCTATACTGGAAATGTTTTCCTCAGAATTTATAATATTGATAGACTTTTTCATCTTTCTTGAGCATAAGCATGTTTCTTCTTCACAGCGTCCTCCAGTGATAAATGCCGTGGCCCTGCCTATATTGTCTGCCCATGTTTAGTACATTCTTGTCTGCTTTGTCTCCTTTAAGCCACTTACCATCTGAAATCATCAATTCATTTAATTCTGATTTATTATCTCCCACCCCATTAAAATATCTATTCTCTGGGAACAGATCCCTTGTTTGCATAGTAAGATTTGACAAAGAATTAAAGATTTGAATAAATAAGAAATGAAAGAAGTTACATCTACCTGGTTTGAATTCTGAAAAATGAATGATAAATATGAAATGACGGAAATATTGAAAGAAATAATACAGCACATTTCAAAAGTGCCGGAGAAGACTACACCTTTGTTGTTTTGCCAAAGCTGTTCTGGGGGGCAGCCAGCTCTCATGACACAGCAGTGTCTCCTCCCACTTCTGCATTTTTGCCTCTCTTGAGTAGGACTCAGCATGTGCCAACAATGCTGCCTTCACAGATTTTCCTTGAAAATTATGGCTGTGACCTTATTATATACTCTGAAGACTACAGAAAATAACAAAATCCTTAACTAACTGCTGCACAGTAGGATGAGCTCTGGATTATTTGTAGAATTTAAATGTCAAACAACATGTAAGATTATAATTACAAAAGATGACCCTGATGATTATATTCATGCTGTCTAAACAGAACAATTAATTAATGTAATCTGTTGAAGTGGCTCCTAATTATAATTATAATGGAAAATAGGAAGCAACCTAAAAAATCCATATTTGTAAGCATTAAATAATCAAAAGCCATAACATTTATTTTAAATCAGTAAATTAAATGAATCAATGAAAAATTCTTGAACTCCATCAAAGTTATATGTAAAAAACATAGAAAATCCTAGAAATCTAACTTCATATCATATGCAAGTCAGAATTCATAATACTCAGTGCAAATTTGAAACAGTAAAATTCTAGACTTACCAAATGTACAAAAATTTTCAGATATGCATTGTACCACATTAGTCTCCAAGGCTCCTCAAAATTATCTGGGATAGTCGTACGAAGATAATACGCCACGAGGACCACCACAATCAGAAGATACAATGGCTTTCTGCCCATGCTGTTCCTGTGCTTCTCTGCCTTTGGAGCTCAAAAATAAACTTCCTGGATGAGCTTTAGTAGCAGACCTCACTAAGGAGTGTGCCCCTGTGCCACAGCCTCACCCGAAAGGTTTACTTTCTCTTTTGAATTGAGAATTGCTCACTTCCTCTACAACCAGCAGAGTAAGCTGGGAACTTCGTTGCTTATCCAACAGCAATCACGGTGATTATAAATCCAAGTTTAATATCCTAAGCAAGTACTATGGATGATCACATGCATACCCTTGTTCTGTGAAGCAACCTGTGTCAAGCAACAATATGGAAAAAATTCTTTAAGTTTGTTAAAGTTATATGTAAAAATCATGCAAGATCTTTACTGTATCACAGTTCATCATAGTAAACAGGAGAACAAATTAATGTTGCTAAAGTGTGGAGAGTATAAGAAAGAACCATTACTGTAAATCTACAAAATTTACATTATACACAAGAGAAATGTTGTTATAATTATTGAGAGGAATTATAAAAAAATAGGAATGATAATAAAAGGAAGATTAATAGTGAATACTTACTAATTATCTCTCTAAAATCCAGACACAATGGTGTAAACAATTAACCTATTAGATCAATGATAACCTTTTGTCTTATGTATGTAAATTGAGTTTTAAAAGGTTAAATAGCTTGTCCAAGTTTCAGAAAAATTTAAGTATTGGATACAGTATAATTTAAGTAACTAAGGAAGCTTTTAGAGGAATTTTATTTTACAATGATAGATTCACGTATGTGTGTGTTGTGTGTGCCTACAAAGATGAAATAAGAAATCACATTCTTACATGACTGAGAATGATGCTGCTGATCCTTTATTGCGTTTCCTACCATAGCTCTTTTCTGTACCCTGACATATCTCTGCCAGATCCTTGAAGTTAACCATTTCTTCAAGTAGACCTGATTTCTTTAGTGGTTAACACCAGGTTAGTGTACAAAAGTAGAAAAAAAAATAGATTAAAATATGATCTCATAATGATTTTTGAATTACAATTGCAAGTTTGTTCCTCATTTTCTCTACTTGTAGAATCAAATGGTGTGTTCCAAGCGTGTAATGTATTTTCATTTTATATTACTTAAATCATGTATTACTGTAAAAATTTTAAAAATATTGAGATTCAACAAGGAAAATAAAATACTCCAATGCTCTTCTTGGAATACATTTCCTGCAAACAGTATTCTGAAAAAAGTGGATGAAATTTCATGGTTACTTTTGGTACTTTGTATGCACTCCTTTCAGAGATAAAATGCCGTAATACATATACTAAAAAGACTGACCGTTTAATGCAGTGGAATAGTGTGCCCCTACCAGCCGAGCAAACTGAACTTGTGTGCACGTTGCATTGTGGCTGCTTGGTCACTGCTTCACTTACGCTTTACTACACTCTGTTCTACTTACTTTTTGTAATTATAGTCCCTGCAATTATTTAAACTTAATGGGCATTAAACTTTCCTGTTTAGCCCTAGATAGTGTGCTTTCGCCACTGATCAAGTCCCTTCAGATCTTTTCAATGAGAGACTTGCCAGTTGTCATTCTTCAAAGAATAAAGAGAAATAATAATTACAGCTAATTTCAGTATATTCTGTGATTGTCTCCTCTCATTTTCTTTGTGATTAATTGATATTTTCTGTCAACAAAAATGAGAACTTCTAAACAGAGTCTATAACTGACCAGACACTAGGCTAATTATCTTCTTCAGCCAACATTTTCTTTATTACTAGAAGACTATTATATGTGGAATTACCTCCTTCCTTTCTTTCTCTTCAGAATAAAACAATTTGTGCTTGCATATATTTCCTATCCATAAATTATATATATTTAATATCCTGTTATTCTAAAAAGTTGATTGCTGATATTATCTCATATTTAATTTACACTAAGAATATCATAATATTAATAAAGTATTGCCACAATCAGTCATACATGGGATATTTCTGCTTTAAACTCAGTCACTTCAGTCAGATAATGAGTATTAGTATAATTTCATCTTTTGTATAAAATTACCATTGTGATGTATAATCAGATTTCTTTGTTGTACTGTGTGTTCAATTTGCAAATATATTTTGTTTAATTTTATAGTAATCAGAAATATGGTAACTACAGTTATGACTATAACCCACATTTTCATACTCTTAACTTTTTCTTTTTTTGTTTTTTTTCTTTTTTTTTTTTTTTGCAGAGAGAACATTTATTCATGAACTTGTTGGGGGTGGCAGAGTGGAAGCCTTCAGGAGTGCAGGGCTCACCACTTGTCCAGGGGACCGCGATTTGGGATGTATTTCACTCCGCAGCCATCAGGGATGAGGCGCTTCTCGGCCACCATGTCTTCAAATTCATCCTCATTGAATTTGGTGAAGCCCCACTTTTTGGAGATGTGGATCTTCTGGCGGCCAGGGAACTTAAACTTGGCCCTGCGTAGGGCCTCGATCACATGCTCCTTGTTCTGCAGCTTGGTGCGGATGGACACGATGACCTGTCCAATGTGGACCCTTGCCACCGTGCCCTGGGGCTTCCCAAAGGCACCCCGCATGCCAGTCTGGAGCCTGGTTTGGGCATGGCAAGGTCAGATACACAGAATGCCCGCCAGGAGGAGTGTCTCCAAGGTCCCTTAGGGCAGCCTATACAAGCAGCAGGCTGCATACACTACCGAGGAGGTTACTGTGTGCAGCCACTGCACACTGGGCACCCACCAGTTTATGTTTTTCTTTGAAATGAGTTTCTATTAACTATGTTTCTCAAAACTTGTTGCTTTTTGGATTTGGATGATTTATATTAATGTTTGGCATCAGTAAAATTTAACAAGATAGAATATAAGAAAAAATTCTTCCTCTTCTGATTTTACTGAGATGACTTTAAAGTATTAAAGATAGTAACAGTGCCACCAAGTTTCTGAAATCCTGGGAAAAACCTGTGTGCAGTATCTTTAAGCGCTCTTAGGACCTACATGTAATGCCCCTTCTGCACACATGAATTCTGAGTCAAAACCTGTTTCTTTTTGTACATATATTCCTATAGATGAAAGCAGATTTTTTGCAATAGCCAGGAAGAGGAATTATTTTTAATTTTCTAACAAATGCACCCACTACTATCCCCCCCATATAAGATTCCCTCTGTTTACAGCATGATTTCAATATGCGTGTATGAATCTTGACACAAAGAAGTAATGAGTTGTATGAGTGCTAGTAAAAACATATATCTGTTCCTCACACTTGACTTTGCTTTCTTTCTGAAGTAGGCCCAGGAAAAGGAGTGAAGAAATGTCCATTGTACATAAAGACTTTCTTTAAATCTTTTTTTTTTTTTTGCGGTACCAGGGACCAAACTCAGGACCTTGCACTTGCAAGGCAGGCGCTCATGACACTGAGCTATATCCCTGGCCCTGCATTAAATCTTTATTTGCCAGAAAATGAGACCACAAGATTTCTGGAATCCCTGAGTGTCTGTGTAAACTAGATGAGGTTATTGTTGACTTGCATGTCTTACTTACTTTCCAGCCAGATTTACCATCACATTATCTTTCTGTAGATGTTCTATTTTAAGAAATACAAAATGTATCTTTGCAACTTCTGCAAAGGAAACAAGCATCAATTTATTTACCAATTGTTGTATGTTATCAGTTGGAGCTAAAAGAAACCACAAGAAGACCCCATTAGCATAGCTTTAGAGATCTGACTGAGATTAGTCTCTCTCTAAATGAGTCCCAAGCCAGGGAAATTTCTCACATTTATTGAGGGCTACAAACAGGCTAAGGAATGTACATTCACTAATTTGGTGTAAGCAAACTATTATCAATATTGCCTTCTGGCCTCCACCGAACTCTAAGTCTACAGATCGCTAGTTGGTAACTTCCCAGGTAAAGGAACAAAGAGCAGAACAGATACCACCTTCAGGAATCTGTTACTACCTTGTCTCCAGCTTGGCGGAAATACAGAAGGCCAGTTTCCTTAGGCTCTGTTCTTTGTTCCTTGCTCCCTTGGGACGGTGTATCAGTACATCATTACATTTCCCCATTTCTGTTTTGTGCTGAATTTTTCTGAAGCATCATAGTGAGGACTGAAGAGTGTGGGTTCATGTCTTGTTGGTGGGCTGGTCCTCATCACTGCCAGGCTAGGAAAGAGGTACAAACAATAGAGACACCTAAACAAAATATTACCATACTCCCACTGAACCATGAAATAGCATGAACAGGATGAAGGTGTTTTGTTTTGTTTTAATTGTAGTACAGGGGCTACAAGATCTCACTCCAAAGCTCTGACTAATAGTGATTCTTTTGTTTTCAGCCTCCCAAGCCCTGGGATTACAGGCATGCGTCACCACGTCCAGTCTCAGCTGCTGTTTCAGTGTGCTCCTGGCGCAGGGCTGGCACAGCAGGCTGGGGGGATTGAACTCCTGATGTCTACATCTGTCTAAGCAGGTGCTTTAATCTGCTGAGATATCTGGCTGGCCCCCGATTAAGGTTTTTGATGCCATTAAAGATGTCTTGTAATAGATCAGTATCAGACAATTCTGACAATTGTTTTTGCAAAAGTATTATCAATATGTTTCTAAGAGAAAGGAAACCAGAGGTAATATCACCGTGATACAATAAATGTCTTTTTACATTTTCCCATGGGAACTGAATTGGAGTTAAAGAGAATGAGGAGGTATTCCAAGCACATTTTAAATTAAGTTGACACTACAGATTAACCATTTGATCTCCTAGCACAACAACAGCTTGTTCTAAATTATTTTATCTTAATATTAACTCTGCATCCATGTGTCTTTGAAGTCCATAATTGTTCTGAGTCCTTGTGCCACTGTTGCACAAAGCAGTTTGTACACCTTGGCTCAGTGCTACTTCAGCTGTAGCAGCTGTGGCTGTGACTGCTGTTATTCCTGAAATCATGGTTATCATGAGTTCAGCTATTCATTTTGTTCTCTTCTTTAGTGTCTCCAACAAATGTTAGAATAGCATCATGGAAGGGGAGTCTTGCCACGGGCATTGTAGTTGTACAGGAAGCCAAATTCCAGTCCTTGCCTTGAGAGTATAAATGCTCCTGCCTTTTAATTTTTTTTGAGAGTATAAATGGTATCCCTAGAAAAATTAAGTTTATCAGA